ACTCCTGGCAGGTCTTCTTCGTTGTTGCGATGACGCGGTGGACGGTCTTGCCGTTCTCCTTGAACTCCTTAGAGCCGTAGAGCCTCTTGGTGATCAAAAAATCCCGCCCGTTGTTGATGCCGCCGAACTGCAAGACACACAAGATCTCAACCCACCGGCTGGCCACGAGGTCCAGCCCTTTCACCTGGGCGAGCTGCTTCTTGAAGCGGTCCTCCTCTTTGACCAGCCGCAATGCCCGCTCCCGGCGCTCCCGTTTGATGTTGTCGTCCCTGAACTTCCTATTCCGAGCCAGCCGGTCCGTGTCCTGAATCAAGTTGATCCCGTCAGATTTATCAGCGTCCACAGCCTTGTTCTCATCCCCGCTTCCTTGACTCCGGGAAGAAGAACGAGTCCTGGCTGCTGCCCCGCGGCGGGTCCGGCGACCTGTCGCGCATCTCCACGTCCAGCACTGGGTCAGCTTTGAGCGGACCCGAAAGACCGATTTTTTCAACAAATGCGGGTACGCTAGAACAAACCGATCGAAATGTGCTTTACGTGGTCATCAGGACATGCACAGCGAAGACGAGATTCCCGGCAAGAACAGGAGAACAGCACACAACGATACGGACGTAGACAGAAATGATTTTCAGCGAGTGCGACCTTTGGTTACGTAATTCTGGTGCGGTACTACGTCGCGAAATCTACCAAGTGCTGCCGTGAAATCAGTTATGACGGTTCCGACGACGTGACGTCGTCGGAACCGTCATAACGACAATGTTTCGAATCGGGATGAAACGCGAAGGTGCGACGACATCACGAGAGGAACGAGCACATGAGCCGCATTGCCACTCGGTCTTACACAAAGAAACTAAGCAGGAGCAACACTATCGAAACACCTGAAAATATATATAAAGCAGGGGTTTGGTGGGGTCGCAGGGGTTATTTTTGTCTAGCGTCGGAAGAGCAGAACCGCGGGAGCCAAAGCCCTCCCGTCGGAGGCTGCGCGGTTTGGCCACTTTGGTACCCTACCCCGATTCGCCTAATTTCATACCCTCACCCGAATCGGCTCCTTTTGTACCCTACCCCGATTTGGCCAATTTTGTACCATCCCCGAATTTTGTACCCTGTCCCGATTTCCCTAATTTTGTACCCTAGCCCGATTTGGCAAATTCTGCACCCTGCTCGAATTTTGTATCCTCTCACGGCTGCCCAATTCTGTACCCTAGCGCACCCCGGGCAGTTTTGTAGGTACGTACCCTGCCCCGAAAGGCCTCACCTTGCGCCCTCGGACAGGGCTTATATTTGTCTAGCGAAGAGCAGCACCACGGGGGCCAAAGCTCCTCTTTCAAGGGCGGCGCGGAGTAGCCAACTTTGTGCCCTACACCGATTCGCCTAATTTTATACCCTCACCCGACACGCCTAATTTTGTACCCTCGCCCGATTTGGCTAATTCTGTACCCTCTCCAAACTGTGTAGCCTATCTCGATTTGCCTAATTTTGTACCCTAGCCCGATTTGGCGAATTCTGCGCCCTGCTCGAGTTTTATGCCCTAGCCCGGTTGCCCAATTCTGTACCCTAGCGCGCCCCGGGTGATTTTGTAAGTACCTTGTCCCGAAAGGCCTCAGC